AACCCTGCCCCCCACCAGGCCTGGCACAAGTGCCTGGCACAGATTAGGCACTGGTATGGTTGATAGATGGACAAATAGATTGACAGATGATAGAGAGAGAGAGAGAGAGAGAGAGACAGACAGACAGACAGATAGATAAACAAATGATTAAGTGAGCAGAACCCAAACTAAAGAACCAAAACTAAGAACCAAAACTGAGCATATCTGGGCACCTGGGTGGGCAACCTCAATTTTCTTCCATGGGTGCCAGTAAAACATTCGAACGACAAATTCTTCAGGTCACACAACTTTTATTGTTGAAGACCATTGCTGGGGGGTAACTGTGGACATGAATGTTGCCTCCCCTCTTGTAACCAGTGTAACCAGCCCATCAGACTCTGCCCACCCACTCTCACCAACTCCAGCCTGCTCTTTAGGGGCAGTCCCCACCCTCCTGCTGCCCAGCGGCTACCTGTAACCAGGGTGCCTGGAGGATGGGCTAGGACGGATCCCTTTAGGCCCTGCCTGCAGGAGTCATAGCACCACAAGGGGCCCAGACAGGCCCAAGGAAGGTGAGGAGACTAGGGGCAAACTGGTGCCCCAGAGAAAAGGCTAGGAAGGCCCAGGCCTTCAGCTGGTGAGAAGGCCAAGCACACTGAGGGCTTGCAGGAGCAGGGCCAACTCAGATCCTTAAAAAGGGCTGTTTGGAGGGCTTGGGGACAGTGTGAGACAGCTTCTCAATGGCAGCTTCTGCATCAGTGCTGTTTCAGGAACAATGGAGAAACTCCAAGGTCCCAGGAGCCAGAACAGCCCCTGAATATGAGAGATGCCTATCCACCTGGATTTTCCCAGGGTGCCTTGTGCCCAAGCAGGAGCAGTATCGATTCCTTCACCCCCTGGTTCCAGCCCACAGAGGCAGCAACAGTGTGTACGGTGTGTGGCTCTCTTTGTGTAGGACTTACCTGCCAGCCCAAATGAGGATTCATTCCCTGAGTATCTCAAAGGGCCCCAGAGGCCAAATTGACTTGGGAGATGTCCAGCTTAAGGACTTTGTCCAGTCCCTTCCTCCAGGGCCTGGAACATTCCACAAGACTCTAGCACAGTACAACTCCCGTGAGTTCATGGAGTTTTTGGGGTGATGGATGCTAGCTCTCAAGTCTCCTGGACTTTGGAGAGAATCTTTAAAAATACACCTATTTTCATTTTTTAAATACAAAAATAAAATATGTTCCAACAGCTTGTGACCAAACAAGTCCTGTTAGCCCTATTAACAATCGTCAGCCTGGACGGCCACAGCCACAGCCCAGCTCTTGACATCCATGGCACCAGCATGAGGTCTGAGCATACAGCTTGTAACACCAATGGGAATTTCTTTCCGCTAAGGACAGTCCAGGCACTGGGAAGCTGGTACTCCAACAAAACCTGTTAATTGGTCACCGGACAGCAGTGATGTCACCTGGGCTGCAGGTTTGTCTGGTCATCCTGAGCTAGTCTTTAGGTCAGGGTCGGAGGGACAAGAATTCCTGATGTCACTTTCCAAACCCTTCCCTGGGCTCCACCTCCTTCACACCACTGTGGACTGTCATCCCGTGTTGGAGCATTCACAGCATCCAAACTGGTATCTTCAGATGGTTTCCAGCCTGGGACTGAGATTTCAGGAAGAGTTGATACCTCTCCTGGTTTCTGAAGAAGTTGGGAGAGCAGCGACACACACGCACCCCTTCCACCCCCCCACCCCAACCCCACACACACGCATTCACAGAGGTGGCAGACAGTGGAGGTGCCTATAATGAGGTGCCTGGTGGCCTTTATCCCAGATGATGTTGCCAACGGCCCAGTCACTTCAGTCAGAGTCTTCCCAGCAGCCAGTGCTGTGAGGTGGAGCAGGACGGCTTCTTAGGATTTCCGGAAGCGCACTTCACTCTGAGAAAGAGAACAGGGATATAGGGCCAAGGTGGGCCAAGTGGGAGGAGAACCCAGAGGCTGAAGCTGAAAATCCAACCCAGCTATCACCTGGTGAGAGTCCCTGGGTGGTGCAGATGGTTAACCCGCTCAGCTGCTAACCAGAAGGTTGGAGGTTCGAGTCCACTCAGCAGTGCCTCAGAAGAAAGGCCTGGTGATCTTTCATTGAAAAGTCAGCCACTGAAAACCCCATGAAGCACCGTTCTACTCTGATACACATGGGGTCGCCATGAGTTGCTGTTCTGCCCTTGCCTCTGGCAGAGAAAGGAAGAGCGGGGCATAGCTGTTGTACAGCTAAAAGACAGCAGACCCAGGGAAGTTCAGTCTGAACTAGGTCGGCAGAGAGTGAGGGATAGATCCCCATCACTGGATACTGGTTCCCCACTAGACCAGTTTCCTGCCAAGGAGGGGGAGGCCTGCTAGCATACCCACCCTCAGTGGCCTGTGTGAACTCACAGCTTGGCCAACACTGAGGAGATGAGAGTGGTATTAGGGCTGGCACTGAAGCCTAAGCCACCCTTTTTTCAACCCTCAGAGCTCTGTACTCAAGAAGGGAAAGAAACCCAGGCAGCTGGGATTGGCAGTAGGCCCTGCATTTGACTTCTTTTCTGTCCTGGCCTTCTGCCCCTTCAATGTGAGGGGGTGGGGGTACCTCTGCCTAAGGCCCTAGGAAAGCCTGCCCTCAGTCCTCTTCCAGATACCCCAACTTTGGGAGTTCCCAGCCTGCCCCATGCAGAGTGCCCCTTGCAGGCCTCTCACCTCCATTTTGCTGTAAATCCAGGGGAGGACTTCCGTCACTTTGGTGTACACACCAGGTTTGTTTCTCTGGCCACAGCCTGTGCCCCAGCTGGTGACTCCTATCAGGTACCAGCGGTTGTTCTGCTCACAGACAAGAGGCCCCCCACTGTCTCCCTGTAGGGGAGAATGAGAACATCAGCAGGGTGGGAGGTGTGGTCCTTGGGCAGGAAATGGTGAGGCAACTGATTCTCACTCCAACCCCAACACCCCACTCCCCAGGGTCCCGGGACCCTTGCCCCACCCAGAAAGGGCCTACCTGGCAGGAGTCTCTGCCTCCATGAATGTCCCCAGCACACATCATCCTGGGAGTAAGGTAGCTATCATAGACTAAGTAGCCATTGCACTTCTGGAAGTCGATGAGGTTGACCTGCACCTCCCGGAGGAAAGGGGACGTCTTTTCTTCAGTGAAGAGGAGTGAAGGAGAGAAAGGATGGGAAGGGAGTGAGACTCCAGGCAGCTTCATGGCCTCCTAGCTGCCCATCCCAGGACCCAGGCTCACAGCCTCCTGAGATTGGAGGGCACCGTTCCTGTGCCTGGTCTCTGGCCCAAGTGGAGTCCTCTGTGTTGGATGCCCAGGATGTATGGGCACACATATCCTCACACCAAACACAAATGCACTACCCATGAAATAGATGCATACACTGTCCCCACACACTCACAGACAAACTCAGAAGCCTATCAGGCTAACTTACATTTTCCACAATGCTTTTCTATGTTCAAGGCAACATCAGATACAGCAATTCATTTGTTTTGGGTAACTATGGAGCCCTGGTGGCACAGTGGTTAAGAGCTCAGCTGCTAACCAAAAGGGCAGCAGTTCGAATCCACCACCTGCCCCTTGGAAACCCCATGGGGCAGCTCTACTCTGTCCTATACAGTCGCTATGAGTCAAAATCGACTCCACGGTGAGTTTTTTGTTTTTGTTTTTTTAATGTGTCCTAATAAGGGTGGCTGTTATTAACCTACTTACAGATGAGGAAATTTAGGTTGAAGAAGTGACTTGCCCTAGTCAGATAGCAGTCGTTGCGGAGCCAATATCAGAACAAGGCTCCCTTCCAGGCCAGTGATCACTCCATCAGACAGAGCCAGAGAAAACCGGTCCTGACACCCAGAACTCTAATAGCCTGCAGCCATGCTAGCCAGGCCATGCTGTTCCCCTGCGCAACATAAATACTGTATTTTTATGCAAATAAAGCTCTTGTTATACGTTTTTTCTCAATCACACAACCACTCTTGCCCCCACCCCTGCACGTTATGCCAATTTCCTTGCGTTATATGTGTGGGCGGGTTATTTACATGGGTGCATTATTTGCAAAAAAGTGCAATAATCTCACGAACACAGACATCCGACAAGGCCATCCGTGACCATGATAAAGCTAGGCAAAAAACAAAAACAATAAGAAGCAAGAAACAAGACCACTTTGTAATCTGGTTTAAGCACAGACAAAAACAAGATCCTGTGCAAACCACCAAAGTATCAAATAACCCCCGCAACTCTGGGCCAGTAGGAGTAGGTGCTGCTTCTTTACCAATTCCAGCTTTGGCCTTAGTCTATTCTTTCCTCCTTCTTGTTGAGATTATTGAAATGCCCAACCAGAATTACCTCTGCTTCCTGAGAGCATCCAATCCAGAAAAAAGAACTACTCCTTTGAATCCCAGATCCTACATGTTTTCTAACACCCTCTAATTAAGATGCCCATGGTTCTCCATGGCGTGTGTTCTCCCTCACAGCAATGAGCAATAAACCCAACTTGTTCAACCACAGGTGTTTTCCTGGTTGTGGCTGGGCAGCGCTGTCACACTAACTGCCTTGCCATATACATGGGTATATATATATATACACACATACACTATCCGCAAGCCATCATCTACATACCCCAACACATCACCCGCACACACTCCACACATACACACGTGTACACACATACACATGCATGCGCGCACACACACATTCCAGGATCTCTGCCTCTCACCATCTGTCTCCTTGGTCTTGCCAAAGCCTGTGATCCAGCAAGTCTCGTTGAGACTGAAGGTCTGTCCGTGCATGGGGAGGCAGGCAGGGCGGATGTGAGCTGCAATAAGACCTCGAGACGTCAGTTAAGGAACAAGGCTGGAGTCTTGGTGGATGTGGGGTGGAGAGGCAGGAGTACCAACATCTTCCTTGCCCCCAGAGTGGTTTTGAATCTTCCAGGACCTTGGAACTGACCAGGCAAGAAACACCATCACTTTATCTTCTCCCCTATAGTCTCCAGCGTGCTCCCAGAGGACCCAAAGCCATTCTCATTTCAGTGGTTGCCATGTGGGCAGATCCATATGCCTTAGAACCTCCCCTCGGCCAAGCTGATTCTGAGTGTTGAGGGTTGAGGGTCTCTCCCCTCCAAGAGTGGGTCTCCTGGCTGAGCCTCTAGCATGCCTTCCTATCAGAGCAAGGAGCAGCAGGCTAAGTCCCAGGTATTACGCCCATGGTGTCTCAGCGGTACGTCCAGCCTGGTCTGGGTAGGACACCTGCTGGTTGGCCAGGGCCATGGCTTTCCCTCTAAATGTTCACTCATCCCAGCATTAGACAATCTATCCAAGCAGGAAAAGCACATCCCTAGAGACATGGGCCACCAGACAGCTGCTAACTTGCTCCCACACTCAAAAATATTAATTTTTTAAGGCAGTGAAATTCTTCTTTTTTTTTTGTCTGCTTTAGATGAAGGTTTACAGAGCAAATTAGTTTCTCACTAAACAATTAATACACATATTGTTTTGTGACATTGTTTGCCAACACAACGACATGTCAACACTCTCCCCTTCTCTACACTGGGTTCCCCATTACCAGCTTTCCTGTCCTCTCTTGCCTTCTCGTCCTTGCCCCTGGGCTGGTGTGCCCATTTAGCCTTGTTTTTTTTTTTTTTAATGGGCCTGTCTAATCTTCGGCTGAAGGGTGAATCTCAGGAATGACTTCATTACTGAGCTAAAATGGTGTCTGGAGGCCATACTCTCAGGGGTTCTCCAGTCTCTGCAGACCAGTAAGTCTGGTCTTTGTGTGTGTGTGTGTATGAGTTAGAATTTTGTTCTACATTTTTCTCCAGCTCTGTCCAGGACCGTCTATTGTGATCCCTGTCAGAGCAGTCAGTGGTGGTAGCTGGGTACCATCTAGTTGTGCTGGACTCAGTCTGGTGGAGGCTGTGGTAGTTGTGGTCCATTAGTCCTTCAGACTAATCTTTCCCTTTGTCTTTGGTTTTTTTCATTCTCCCTTGCTCCAGGCAGGGTGGGACCAGTGGAGTATCTTAGACGGCTGCTCACAAGCTTTTAAGACTCCAGACGCTACTCACCAAAGTAGGATGTAGGATATTTTCTTTATAAACTGTTATGCCAATTGAGCTAAATGTCCCCAGAGACCATGATCACCAGCCTGCAGGGAGTTTGGATGTGTCTATGAAGCTTCCATGACCTTTCCTTGTACAGGTTGTGCTGGCTTCCCCAGTATTGTGTACTGGCTTACCCTTTACCAAAGTTACCACTTATCTATTGTCTAGTTGGTGTTTTTCTCTCCCCACCCCTTCCCTCCCTAGCAACCATCAAAGATTGTTTCTTTCTGTGTGTAAACCTTTTCGTGGGTTTTTATAATAGTGGTCTCATACAGTATTTGTCCTTTTGTGACTGACTGATTTCACTCAGCATAATGCCCTCCAGATTCATCCCTGTTATGAGATGCTTCACAGATACATCATTGTTCTTTATCGTTGCATAGTATCCCACTGTGTGTATGTACCATAGTTTGTTTATCCATTCAGCTGTTGATGGACGCTTAGGTTGTTCCATCTTTCTGCTATTGTGAAGAATGCTGCAATGAACATTGGTGTGCATGTGTCTATTTGTATGACAGCTCTTATTTCTCTAGGATATATTCCGACGAGTGGGATAGCTGGATCGTATGGTATTTCTATTTCTAGCTTTTTAAGGAAGCACCATATCATTTTCTAAAATGGTTGTACCAATTTGCATTCCCACCAGCAGTGCATAAGAGTTCCATTCTCCCTGCAGCCTCTCCAACATTTGCTATTCCTGTTTTTTTGATTCGTGCCAGTAACGTTAGGGTGAGATGGTATCTCATTGTAGTTTTGATTTGCATTTTTATAATGGCTATTGATTTCCAGCATTTCCTCATGTGTCTGTTAGCTGCCTGAGAGTCATCTTTGGTGAAGTATGTGTTCATATCCTTTGCCCATTTTTTAATTGGGTTATTTGTCTTTTTCTTGTAGAGGTGTTAGATTTTCCTGTAGAGATTAGACGTTCGTCGGATTTGTCATAGCCAAAAATTTTTTCCCAGTCTGTAGGTTCTCTTTTTACTGTTTTGGTGAAGTCTTTTGATGAGCATAAGTGTTTAATTTTTAGAAGATCCCAGTTATTTAGTTTATCTTCTGGTGTTTGTGTATTGTTAGTTATGGTTTGTATCCTGTTTATGCCATGTATTAGGGCCTCTAGCGTTGACCCTATTTTTCCTTCTATGATATTTGTACTTTTTGGTTTTATATTTAGGTCTTTGATCCATTTTGAGTTTGTTTTTGTGTCTGGTGTAAGGTATGGCTCCTGTTTCACTTTTTTGCAGACGGACATCCAGTTTTGCCAGCACCATTTATTGAGAAGACTGTCTTTTCCCCATTTAGTGGACTTTAGGCCTTTGTCAAAGATCAGGTGACTGTAGGTGGATGGATCAAAAATATTTAGGAGGTGCTGTTGTGTTTCACTTTGTAAGCTTTCTCTGAGGACTGGTGTCTGTAGATGGACTGGGGCATTCGGCCACCAAACTCCAATTTGCAGGTGGAAAAAATTAGTTGATGGATAAAATGTTTGCAGTGTTCTCAGTTTTCTGTTATGCTCACTACAGTATCCCATACCTAGAACAGTGCCTGACACCTATTAACTACTTGATAAACATTTACCAAATGAATGAATGTTAAATCCTTCTCTCATAAATTGGGCTTTAAACTTTGTTTTTTTAATCCATTCTGTCACTCTTCATCTCTTCATGGGTGCATTTAGGCCATTTACGTTCAGTGTAATTATTGATAGGTGTGAGTTTAGTGCTGTCATTTTGTAGTGCTTTTTTTTGTGGTGCTCACTTTTTCTTTGTTCCTCTTACTCTCTTGTGCTGCATTGCTTTTGTTTGTGGATTTGTTTTTCATTTCTTTTGTTTTTGTAGGTTTTGTTTTTACCGAGACTTTATATTTTTCCTCTTTATTTTGATGAGCAGATTTGTTAACTTTCTTTGTGTTTACCTTGCAATTTATCCTTATCTTTCTAAGTTTGAAGCAGTATATTATTACTTGGTATCACCTTGCCTTCCTCTTCATTAGAAGGTTCTATACCTACACTGTTTATTCTCTCTTTTATTGTTCTGATGTTGTTGTCATTCACAGATGATGAATTGCTCTGATTCCCTGTCGTATTTCTTTTGGCAGTCCTTCAGAGTTCATTTCCTAGATTAATATCTGGCTGGTATGATCCTGTGTCCTCAATTCAGCCTGTGAGCTGAGGTCGTTTGTTCTCAGATCGAAGGACTCCCTTTAATAATTTTTGTAAATTTGGTTTGGTTTTCACATAGTCCCTTAATTTTTGTTTATCTGGAAATTTCACCATCATATCTGAAGGGAAGTTTTTCAGGGTATATTATTCTTGGCTGGCAATTTTTTTCTTTCAAGGTTTTACATATGTCATCCCATTACCTTCTTGCCTGCATGGTTTCTGCCGAATAATCTGAGTGAGCTTAGTCTTATTGTTTCTCATCTGTATGTGACTTCTTGTTTTTCTCAGGCTGCTCTCAGGATTCTTTGTTCGTCTTTGGTTTTGGCGAATGTGAGTATGATATGCCTTGGTGATTTTCTTTTGTGGTCTATCCTATATGGGGTTCATTGAGCTTCTCAGATGGCCAGCTTTTCATCTTTCATGATATTGGGGAAGTTTTCTGTCAGCAGTTCTTCAATGATCCTCTCTGTGTTTTCTGTTTTCTCCCCCTATTCTGGGACTCCAATCACTCGCAAATTTTTGCTTTTGATTGTATCCCACATAATTCTCAGGGTCTCTTCATTTTTCTTTGTTCTTTTTTCTGATTTTTTCCTCAAACAGAGTTGTAGCCAAGTGTTTGTCTTCAATTTTGCTGATCCTGTCTTCCACTGTTTCAAACCTGCTCCTCAGCCTTTCTATGTCACTGTCCATTTCAGAAATCTTGTTGTTTATCTTTTGGATTTCTAATTGTTGTTTTTGTATGATTCTTAGTTGTGAATTTATTTTGGCATTTTGTTCCTGCATTATTTTCCTGAATTCTTCCATTTTTTTGTCTGTATTTTCCATGAATTTGTCTGCCTTTTCTGTGAATTTGTCTATTTTTTCCTCATTTCTGTCTGCTTTTTGCTTCAACTCTTGGATAGTTCTGAATATCAGAGATTTGAATTCCCTATCAGGTAGTTCTAGTGCTTTTTCTTGTACTGGAAAGTCATCTGGTGTTTTATTTTGGACGGCTATTGGGACCATCCTATCCTGTTCTTGTAAATGTTTTGACATTGTCTGCTGTCTTCAGGGCATTCGGTAGTTATTTTCCTCATTTATTGATTGTAGGTTTTTTTGTTTCGTCCTGCTTTTTTGTTCTATTTGGCTATGTCGGAGCAGGCAGGCAGTGTGTTCTTTGTTGTTTGCTCATCTTGGGGCATGATACTTTTCACCTCCTTCTCCAATTGGCAGGGTCAGTAGCTCAGATATGTTACAGCAGGGCAGGTCTAGCTGAAGAGGAGTTGTTGGGATGGGTTGTTTGTGGCACTTACTATGGCCACCAGGGTGGGCCAGTAATCAGTGCAGGGCAGGTTCCAGTAGGCCATGTCTGGGCTGCTGGGTGGTGTGATGTTCAGCACATGGTGCAGGTAGGCAGGATGGAGGGGGGAGATTGTGATGTGTGGAGCTAAGATGGGTATGGGAGAGATGAGAGCAGAATAGGAGCCAAAAAAATACAAACAAACAAAAATGAGTGCTAGGGGAGCTTGCCACTGGAGTGGAAAGATGAGAGACTATGAAATGGTGAAAAAGGAGAAGAAGAAAAGAAAAAAAATGAATAAATAAAAATCAGAAAGCAAGAAGAAAAGCAAAGCTCCCAGGGATCCCTCTGGTGTGGCTGCGAGGTCTGGTGAAGTTGCTTCCAGGCCATAAAGTACAGCCTGGCTAGAAGGGGTAGAGGTGTCACTCAGCACCAGGTATTCAGGGGACAGGAAGAGAAGGAAAGAACAGAAAGACAAGAAACCGAGTAATGAAGAAAGACAAAGAAGGGGAAAGAAAAAAACCCAAACAAATAAAAAATTAAAAAAAAGAACAAGAGAAACCTCCAAAGAAAAACAAAAAAAAAAAGCCCCCTGAAAAACAAGAAAAAACAAATGCCCTTGGGGATCCCTCTGTGCATCTGTGCAAACTGAGGGGGTAGGTCCCAAGCCATGCAGTACTGCCTGGCTAGAATGGGCTCCCAATTCTAGAAAAAAAAAAAGAAAACAAACAAACAAACAATTCAAAACAAACCAAAAAAAAAGCCCCAGGATCCCACCAGTGTGGCAGCACAGGCGGGAAGCAGTTTCACATTTGAGTGGCGTTGCACAGCCTTTCAGGAAGAAGCAAAGATGATGCACAGAGCCAGGTATTTGAGAGAAAGGAGGGGGAGGTGGTGAGAGGTAAGGAAGAAATCTAAAGAAGCAGAAAAAAGCAACACCAGCAACCAACAAATGGCACTGAGGGAACCAACCAGTGTGGGTGGGTGGAACCCAAGTGACATCAGAATGAAGGTGGTGCTTCCCGGCCAAGAGACTGGCCACAGGAAGCAGAGCAGGCCGAGTGGGGGTGAAGAAGGGTGGGGAGTGGGAAAGCATATATCACTGGTTACTGGTTGTTCTGTCTCCTGCTGGAAGCTCCCTGAAGCTGCTTTCTTGTACCCCCTGTTCACTGGTCTCCGATAGGAGTCCAAGATGGCAGATCCATGCTGCATTAGCTGATAGGGGACCTCTGCACGTATCTCTCCTCGCTTTCTGTTCTCTGTCAGTTTCTTATTCCATTTGGTGCTTGGCTGAGTTCATCTCTTCATTTGATGCTTAGGGATTGAGGATTGCTGTTTTGTCTGTTTGGCTTAGGTTTTCAGATCTTTGCTGTGGAGGGATGGTATGGTGCTTCTGCCTGTACTGCCATGTTGCCCGGAAGTCGGGCTTTAAGCTTTGGATCAGAGGAAAAGACTCATTAACAGCCTACATTATGCAGATGACACAACCTTTCTTGCTGAAAATGAAGAAGACTTCAAGTACTTACTGATGAAGATCATCGACTGCAGCCTTCATATGGATTACACCTCAACATAAAGAAAACAAAAATCTTCACAACTGGACCAATAAGCAACATCATGATCAATGGAGAAATGATTGAAGTTGTCAAGGATTTCGTTTTACTTGGATCCACAATCAATGCCCATGGAAGCAGCTGTCAAGAAATCAATCCATGTACTGCATTGGGCAAATCTGCTGCAAAAGACCTCGTTAAAGTGTTAAAAAGCAAAGATGTCACTTTGAGGACTAAGGTGCACTTTGCCAAAGCCATGGTATTTTCTATCGCTTCATAGGCTTTCGAAAGCTGGACAATGAATAAGGAAGACTGAAGAAGAATTGATGCCTTTGAATTATGGTGTTGGCAAAGAATAGTGAATATACCACAGACTGTCGGAAGAACAAACAAATCTGTCTTCAAACAAGTACAGCCAGAATACCCCCTAGAAGCGAGGATAGTGAGACTTCATCTTGCTTACTTTGGACATGTTATCAGGAGAGACCAATCCCTGGAGAAGGACATCATGCTTGGTAGAAGGTCAGCAAAAAAGAAAAAGACCCTCAACAAGATGGATTGACACAGTGGCTGCAACAATGGGCTCAAATATAGCAATGATTGTGGGAATGGTGTCGGATCTGGCAACACTTTGTTCTATTATATGTAAGGTCACTATGAGTTGGAACCAACTCAACAGCACCTACAACCACAACTAGCTTTGGTGCCTACCATGTTTTGTCTGCTAGAGAGTAAACATACGAAAATAAATGAAGTGATAGCATCAGCTATTAACCAAAAATGCAAAACAGGATTTCTTAAAATATTCTGTGCTGATTCTTGAGATGTAGAGTCTTGAAAATATGTTGTTAGATGTTGTCGAGTCAATTCCAACTCATGGCGACTCCATGTGCGCAGAGTAGAACTGCTCCATAGAGTTTTCAAAGCTGTGACCTTTCAGAAGCAGATTGCTAGCCCTGTCTTCTGAGGCGCCTCTGGGTGGGTTTGAACTGCCAACCTTTCAGCTAGTAGTTAAGTGCTTAACCATTTGTACGCTACACAGGGCCCCTGAAAATGTGTAACAATGTTATATATTCCTCTATGTTCCTCATTTTTATGGAGGAATTAAATTTATTGGGGAGTTTTCACATGTTTTCTCAGAGAGCATCATGACTTTGAGGTGCTCTGCCTGTCGAATGAGTTTAAGAAAAATCTGCACTGATTTCTAAAGGAAAAATTAGGGCACATGGTCTGACCATACCAAAACCCATTGCCATCAAGTCGATCCTGACTCATAGCGACCCTATAGTGACCCTATAGGACAGAGTAGAACTGCCCCATAGGGTTTCCAAGGAGCGCCTGCTGTATTTGAATTGCTGACCTTTTGGTTAGCATCCATAGCTCTTAATCACTACGCCACCAGGGTTTCTGGTCTGACCATGGAACCACGTAAATCAGGGGTTTCCAAGAAAATCGGAGCTGTGATTCTCAGACTAAGCCTGCTCACTTCCCAGGGGCCTACCAGAGTGTGAAGAGGGACTGGCATAGTCTGAAAAGGACATTCAACTTTACAATAGCTTTCATTTGGTTTTAGAACTATTTAATGTTTTGGAATTCCAAATAATATTGAGCAGGGTTGGGGGAGGGCGGGAGGTGAGATTTGGATGTTTAGCTAAATGGATTTTAAAAGGTTGAGAAGGCAGACTGCCTCCTGTGTTATATGTACATGAGTGGCAGAGCTGGGGCAGCGGGTAACCCTCATAGTCCCAGGCTCCACGCACAGGGTGGGAGGAGGGCAACGGAGGCCGGAGGAGGCTGAAGGACATAAGGTTTGCCTCTGGTGAGTGTGGCTCTAGGCCAGCCCCGTCCAGCCAAACTCTTCACACTTCACATCACTGTGATGCTCTAAATGCCCTCACTCCTGACACTGCCTCCATAACTTAAAAAAAAAAAAAAAAAAACACCTATTGTCGTCCAGTCAATTCCGACTTATAGTGACCCTATAGGACAGAGTAGAACTGCCCCATAGGGTTTCCAAGAAGCGCCTGGTGGAGTCAAACTGCCGACCTTTTGGTTAGCAGTCATAACACTTACCACTATGCCACCAGGGTTTCATAATTAGTGTGCCAGAAAACACCAGCTCGCAGGCTCAGAGCATGAGAACAGCTGGACTAACCAGAGCGTCCTCCAAGGCTTCCGGAAATTCCAGTCCTCCGAGGGAGATACGTCTCCTGTCTTTCTTACCTATGTGACTTTGCTTATGCTAGAAGACCCCCACCCCATTCTTCAGTGTCCCTCCCAACCCCCCTTCACCTGGCTTCACCAGTTCTTTCAGGAGCCACCTTACCTGTCTTCCCTCAGGGAAGCCTCGCCTAGCCTGCCAAGACTGATTGGGTGCCCCACTCTATCACCGTAGCTCTTCCCGGCTTCCCCCAACACAGCATCACGGACCTCTACTGTAAATGTCTCTCTTTATGTGCATCTCTGTTTTGTCCCATTTGCCACTGCACCTGCAGGGCCTGCCATATAGTAGACGTACTTAAGTACTTGATAAGTGGACAAATGAGTGAATGAATGAACGAAGCCTTTTTTGACATCCCCAGTCCACAGCGATCTCCTCCTCTTCTGTACCACTAACAGAACTTCATTTGGTTGTCAGCCACCACCTCGGGGCAACTAGCTGTTTGAACGCGTGCTCCTCTCGTTTCTCAACCGCAGGTAAGCAATTTGCCAGTCAAAGAGCTGGGTGGGAGGAACACCGCCTGGGAATCAGATCAACCTGGATCCAATCCCAGTGCTACCTTGGGTAATTCTCTTTCTCTAAACCTCTATTTCTTCATAGGTAAAATGTCTGCCACTGTGTCTGGCCCCTGTTAAGTGCTCAATAAATGCCAGTGAAATGATTCAATCTATTTGTATTGACTAAGACCAGTATCCAAGCCCTGACTCTGCCACCAACTTGCAGTGTGTGACATGTCATTTGGGCAATTTATTTTCAACTCCTGGGCCTCTGTTTCCCCGGTGGTAAAACAGAGATGTTGGCTTAAGTGATCTCTAAGCATCTTTGACTTCTGCCATTCTGAGGCTCTGGGACACTGAGACAGGCTAACAGACGCTGCCAAGCACAAGGGCTGGGCCCTGGAGGGCTGCGGAGGGAGCTGGGTGGGGTGTGGCAGGCGCAGATCCACTCACCGGACAGGGGCAGAGGCTTGGAGAGCCGCATGAGGGCGATGTCATAGTCGTCTTGCTCCTCGGTGTAGTTGCCGTTGATGATGATCTGGGAGATGGAGGCTGCCTCGGGCAGCTGGTGCAGGTTGTTGGTGCCTGCGTACACCTTCCAGCCATCCAGCAGCCTCTCCCTGGTCCTGCAAAAGCCACAGACTACCATGGTCCAGTTACTCATCTGGCAAAGCTCACTGGCACCATCTGCTACACACAGAACAGCTGGCAGAGCACCAGTTGGAAGCAGGGGGAGGGACAAAATGACCTCTGGAGGAGCCTTCTATCTTGGCCCCAGGGTCCAAAACAATTACCCAGCCATCCCTCCTTCCCTCCCCGCACCCCAGCCAAAAACACAAAAAAATAACATTCTGAACTGGGTGCTCTCACTTTATAATGATAAAAGGGGCAAGTAAGACTTCTGTGCAGTATTCACCCCCACTTTCTCCTCTGCATCCCTGGGTGACGCAAACGGTTACCACGCTTGGCTGCTAACCAAAAGGCTGAAGGTTTGAGACCACCCAGAGGCACCTCAGAAGAAAGGCCTGGTGATTTACTTCCAAAAAATTAGTCATCGAAAACCCTGTGGAGCACAGTTCTACTCTGACACACATCAGTCGTCCTGAGTCGGAATTGACAGAACAGTTAACTGCTAAATCTCCCCTGCACCCCACCAAGGATCAAGTAAGGTGGGCAGGGCAGATATCAGTAGTTGTATCCTCAGCAGAGACAGAGATTTAGAGAGGACAAAGGGACCTGCTGAAGACTCATTACTGGGGAAGCCAGAGCCCCTGAGGCCTGGTCCAGAGCCCCTTCCTACCCACCTGCTTGGGCTGCAGGCCACCACCGGGATGAGCCTGGCTGGTGACTGTCAGAAGCTGACTCCACTGCCCTACTGGCAACCTCCCTCCCTCAATTTCTGGGACAGCAGTCCTGATTTCTCAGGCTTCTCTCATACAAGCTCCAGTTGCAGGATGCAGCAACAGAATTTCTTCAGGGTCAGGCTCCCAAGTCCTTCCTTCCCTGCCTCACTCTCCCTTACCAGTGGCCATCAAGTTGATTCCGACTCATGGCAACCACATGTGTGTCAGAGTAGAACTGTGCTCCATAGCGTTTTCAGTGCCTGGTTTTTCAGAAGTCGATTGCCAGGCCTTTCTTCTGAGGAACCTCTGGGTGGACTTGAACCAACATTTTGGTTAGCAGCCAAGCACGTTAACCATTTGTACCACCCAGGGACTCATCACTAGTCACTCGTCACTCTCCCGGTATTTTCTCATTCTTGGGCCTAGCTCAGAACAAGTACTCCCAACTCACATTCCCAGGACGAACTGCAAACTGCAAATCATGATCCATGAGTGATCGTTCAAGCCACACCACTGTCTCCTGCTCACTGGGGGTCAGGTCACACCCAAAGTGCCCCTCCACAGAGAAGTCAGTCTGCTCTCGGCCCTTGCTGGTGACCCCTGACCCCCGGCCTGCATCAAGTCACCCACCCCCTCAGGCACTTACACAAAGAAGCAGTGGGCAGCAGTGAGCACCCACTGGTCGTCGATCAGTGTGCCCCCACAAATGTGGGCGGTGCCATAGTGGAGACTCACTTGCCAAGGCCACTTGCTCTCTGAGGCCAACGTGCCACCCACGATCCGACCGGTCATGGCCCTCTGTCCACAGTCTGCGGGGGAAGCAGAAGAAACAAACCCTGAACCCCGCTTCTCTAGCATCTCAGCCATGCTCTCCCAGACCCTCACAGGCTTGGCAGCCCCATCTGGAAGGCACCCACCCTCAGATGCTGTTGTGCTCACCAATCTGATGGAAGCCCTGCTGTTTCCTGCCAAAGTGGAGCTGCCATGTCAGGGCTTAGCTTGCCAGGATCCTCTAGTGGGAACTTTGATTCCAGGCAGATTCCTCTTTCCTCCCACTCATCCATTATTTTATCAACTCAACAAATGTGTACTGAGTGCCTGGTGCCTTGGGCACCAACCAAAAACCAAACCCGTTGCAGATGGGTTGATTCTGACTCATAGTGACCCTACAGGACAGAGTAAAACTGCCCCATAGGGTTTCCAAGGAGCAACTGGTGAATTCTAACTGCCAACCTTTTGGTCAGCAGACAAACTCTTAATCACTGCGCCATCAGGAACAGCACCAGGTATTAAAGTTATGTTGGGGAATTCCAGGGTTGCTGTCAGGTCCTCAGGAAAGTCAACCAATTCTAACATGAATCTTGAATTGGCAAGCATTATGATGGGGATTGCTATCATCCAAGACATCATGTATTTCCAAACATAGGATAAATATACTTCCCATGATGCACAGGTTGAGTTTGTGCCCACATGGTTCCTCTATGGACCAGTCAGAGCTGTTGAGAACACTGCGTCCCAAGGGAACACTTCCAACCACATTCTGGAGCAAGTCATCCTCCACCATCATGGACAAGGAGGGCAGCCCTCGCAGTGTGTTCAGATATATGTCCTTTTCGGGACAGAGTGAGGAAGCAGCAGTGGTCTGAGTGGGTGGGCACTCTATCCACAGAACGGTGCCCAGCCTACTCAGGGGAGCACTTCCCACCACCATTGCTGAGAATGTGGCACTTGTAGAAGAGTCAACAGACATGAGGTCAAATACCAGCTCCTCGCCTACTAGCTGTCTCATCTTAAGCAAGCTAAATATTTTGGTCTCCATATCTATAAGCAGGCAGTAATTGTACCTGGAATGAGCCCTGGTGGTACAGTGGTTAAGTGCTCTGCTGCTAACCGAAAGGTTGGCGGTTAGAACCCATCAGCCGCTGTGCGGGACAAAGATGTGGCAGTCTGCTTCCATAAAGATTACAGCCTTGGAAACCCTATGGGGCAGTTGTACTCTGTCCTATTGGGTCACTATGAGTCGGAATCGACTCGACGGCAACAGGTTTGGTTTTGGTTTAGAGGCCTGGTGGCACAGTGGTTAATAGCTCGGCTGCTAACCAAAAAGTAGCAGTTCAAATCCATCAGCTGCTCCTCAGAAACCCTACGGGGCAGTTCTCGATAGCAATGGGTTTGGTTTTTTGGTTTTGGAATGGCACTTGCCTCATACGGTTAGTGTAGGAATTAAATGCCGTCGTATTTGTAAAGAGATGGACACAGTGCCTTGCATGTAGATTGTACTCAGTAAATGTTGGCTCTAGATCTCAATCTCAATGTAATTCCATGCCTGTTGATACAGGAGCTTTAAGCTGGCCCTGAACCTACTCTCCCAGTCCTCTGCCCTCTGCCTGGAATCCAGGGGACTCAACTGACTTCCTTGGAATGAGTGAGGTTGCTGGGCTGAGCTCCTAGCGGTGAGAGGAGGAGGGGCAATGCTGCCCAGGAACTGCCCCAGGGCCTTCCAGAGGCCCTGGCCCTGAAGCAGGCCTGTTGGCTAATCCCCTCTTCCTGGCTTGGACCTCCAGGGCCAGCCATTTCTCCCAGAGGGGTACCAGCCTTCTCCCCCCTGACTTCCACCCGACACAGGCCACAGTCCAAGAAGAAGAGCATCTTCTTACGGGAACACTGGAGAGAGACGTAATGCTGAGATGGGCATTCAGACCTGCAAGAGGAGACACAAAGGTGGGGAAAGAGATGTATAAACCATCTCCTCCAGGAAGCGTTTCCTGATTGACCCCTACTGAGGTCCTACCCCATTTCCAAGGAAGCTACCTTTGCACAGGAAGGTGGAGATTCTGATCTTCTCCCTCCCAGTGGAAAAGGCCTTGCAAGTGCTTTTTCCAGGAATGGGGATGGCTCAGTGCAAATCCTCCCCAGTTTGCTTGTGGTGGACTACACACATTGACCGTATTTGTGTCCTTTGAACCCAGCCTTCAATAGCCCAATATCTTTCCACAACTAAGCAGGTGGACCACTGCTTCTCTGATACAGCTCCTCACTGCTCGGCCAGCAATGTAGTGTACAAACCCACCTAGCACAAAGCCGGCATCCAGGATGCAGCTAGTTCGCTTCCTGCCCTCAGCATCCTTTCTTCTCTTGGAGTCTGTTTCTTCTCTCCCTTCCCCAAGATAAACAATACTAGCTGGTGGAGAGCCCCTCCACCCTCCCAGTCAGTGGGCTGCATGCCAAAGATGGCAGAGGATGATGAGGCCCAGGAAGACAACGATGTGTCCCAGGCGGGCCTCCTGTCCCTGACCACTTGCATCCGGCCCTCCCCCTGCTGCTGGGTGCCCCACCCCATTCCCAATGCCAGTGGTGCTCTCCCTCCCACCCCAGTCCACTCCCTTCAGCAGCTTTCAGTCCAAGCACCTGGCTGACTGGTGGCCCCAAGGGTTATTAGTTGTCCCTGGCAACCAGGTAAACTCAGGGGCACCCCTGATTTCAAAGACTTCTCTGCACCAAGCCTCAAATAAGAACTTGTATATCAGAAGGTGGCAGGGTGAATGAGGACTGTTTCTGAGATGTCCCTGAACATTCATGATGGACTCCTGGAGCCTGAGTCCCAGAAAGGCCACGAGAGAGGGGCTTCTAGTCTCGACCCTCTGCACTCCCCTTGTGCCCCTGCTCAGAAAGGGAGTCCTCAGAACAGTTGGCCTGGCCTGCCCCCACCATACCTGTGGAGACTTTCCTGGATGGTGGAGTTGTATTTAGAGACTGAGAAACTGCTGGCAAAGTCCCTATGGACCACCTCAGTTGTCCGGTAAGCACTGCAAGTGAGAAGGGAAGAATGAGCTACCTTGAGACAGAGTCCACCCCCAGATCCCAATAGAGTTGCCACCAGCCCTGCTGAGAGAACTAGGCTGTAAGGGGCTGAATGGAATTCAAGGCCCCACCCACATATTCTACCACTCTCCCCGCCCACACCCCTACCCCACCCCACCCCCAGCCCTACGATTCAGCCCAGTAGTTCTCACCCCAAACTGCAGCATCAGCATTATCTGCAAGTCATTAGAAATGCAAATTCTCGGGCCCCACCCCAGACTTCCGGAATCAGAGACTCAGGGTGGGGCCCAGCAATCTGCTTTAACAGGCTCTCCATGTGTTTCTGACAGGCACTCAGGTGTGAGAGGCACCCATCTAGCCCTTTTCTGTTCAAGCTGTGGTCTGTGGAGGAGCAGCATCAGCATCACCCCCAACGTACTGAATCAGAATCTACATTTTAAAGACCCCTCCCAGGTTATCGGTTTGCCTATTAAAGTTTGAGAACCTTTGGACTAGCCTTTTGGGTCTCAGACCTCAAGGTGCGTAAGAATCACCTAGTGGTGTTTGCTAAGGCAGTCCCCAGTCCTAATCCCAGGAACTTGGATTCAATGGGTCAGCATTTGAACAAGCTGCCCAGGTGATTCTCATGTGAATGATCGTGGACCACTATCTGCATGGAACTTACGTCCATTTCAAGAACATGGTATCTCCTTGCATGAGACAATGTTTTGCACAAGTGTTCCTCTACCCAGAGTACTCTTTCCTCCAGGCTCTTCTCTCTCCTCCAAGTGCAGTTAGGCGCCCTTTGCGCATATCCTTATCATTACACATCACATTGGTTTAAGCATCTCTCACGCACACTATACTAGAGGTCCTTAGGGCAGGGATCCTGTCTTATGCCTTTTTGTCTGGGTGCCATATAGTACCTGGCACATAATAAAAGCTTAATGAATGTTCTTTGAATAAATGACACCATCTACTGAAGTCCAAGGGAGGTTCTGACTTGCATAAGGTCACAGACCTCTTTGATAAAGATACAGAACAGGACCTCAGATGTCTGTGGTCTTCCAACCAGACCCTCCTGATGTTCCTTTTTATAGACTGCAACTCTGAAGCTGAGGAGAACTGGCTCTAAGTCCTAGCTCCCAATCCCTAGTTTTCCAGGTACTTCTACAGATATAGCTCAGAGTGATATCCTAACCTCTTCTGCCTACAACCCCACACACGTTGGTGAACCCCAAAATGCACAGATCAAGAGGGAGGATGGAGATGGATAGCTGGCCTGCAAATCAGACTCTTTCAATGGGAAGGTCACTGTTCTTGCTGCCCCCCACCCCACCCACCAGCTCTGGGTTTTTTGTTTAAAAACTATAATGAGTCAAAGATTCTTATGTCTCTTCCTGGCCAGATCTGCCCCATTCCATTCCCTGTTTGAGCAATTCTACTGCTCAAGCCACAACTGGTACAGTCCAAAGCCCACTGAAGATCTTTGTACCACCTGAGCTTCTATTCCCCAAATGTAAGAAGAAGACCTGCCCACTGGCATGCCCAGCTCACAGGGCCACCATGGCCATTAAATGTGATCAAGGACATGAGGGTGCTTTGATGCAAAGAACTGATGTTATTATAGCTCTGGTCTCATGGAAACAGCTTGCCCCAGACTAGTTAGCTCCCAGGGCCACTGTACCTTTGGATAACTCAAGAAGATCCTGAGCCAGTGACCTTGGCCCTGGTCCTTAAGGGCTCTTTTAATAGGAGGTTCTTGCAAAGAGCCTGAGACATATGTGAAGCCGGGGCCCCAGGGGCAGATTTACCTCTCAAAGCCCAGCTGCTGGCAGGTCTTCTCTGAGTAGGTGTCCTTCCAGCTGTCACTGCACACAGGAAGCCACTTATGGGAGATTCCAGAGTAGACTTTAAGCAGAGACTTGTCCCAGTCAAACCTTACTGCAGGCCAAGAGAAGGGCAGAGCAGGTCCTCAGCACCCAGGAAGGTTTATGCTCCTGGGGAATGAACTGAGCAAGGCTCCGAGAAGCCCCCGCCCTAAGGCAGGCACCAAGGAGTGAGGGTCAGCCAGTGCTCAGAAGCCCAGGACCCTCAGGAAGGGCAGAGCAAAGGCAAGTGGCTGGGGCAGGGCGGACAGCGCGTCATCTGATGGGACACAGGAGTCATTGCTGGGGGGAGGGGGAGCACTGCCAGGAGCCAGCATTCCGAGAGGGCAGTGACATGGCCAAATGAGAGAGTGGCCAGGGAAAACAAGGCCTGCAGTCTAACTGTGTGCTCACAGGTGCAGACACAGCGGGACTCAGTCATGGGTTGCACACATGTGAACACACAGAGCCCACATAGGTGGAATGGGCACAAACAATGCATACACGTGGATCTGCATGCAAGACACGCACACCAGGGCTACACGGACAAGCACACAGGAAAACCACTGATGACTAGTGTTCAAAGAAGTCTCTGTGGATCATTGTGGTGATCATCGAGGCCAGCAGTTTACAGACTGACCTTCACGAAACCATGGAGTTGAGAAGTCAGAGGTCACCTGGTAGGTAACAAGGAAAGGCACATGGACGGGGCTCACCACCCTACACTTTCTTCTGGCCAGAGCTGCTCTGTTTTGATCAATCTGACCTTGGGAAGTTGTCAAATTTTATTTGAGAACCACTAATCTTGTGCAGTCGACTCACTTGACAAATTAGGAAACTGAAGCCTAGAAAAGAGAAGTGATTTGCCCAAGGCACAGAGCACTCAAAACCAGGTTGCAAATCCTCTGCTATGACTGGGACCCAGTCCTTTGAACTCCCTGTCCATTGCCTCCCGTTTGAGGCTGATACACAGCTTTCACCACAGTTTGCAGTCACCAGAGTGCATACACACACGTGCACATGGACATGCACACACAGTTACACACACACGTGCACACACATGCGTGCACACACACACCCATGCTTAGCCTCCTTACCACAGCCCAGCTCATCACTCTTGAGCTTGCAGTCCACCACCCCATCACAGCGAACTGCATGCCTGGGGCAGCTCTCAACCGGCTCCTTGTACTTGATCCCTGTGGAGTCCTGCCAGAAGTAGACTGGAAAAAAGGAAGCAGACAGCTGGGGTCAATGCCAGTTCCAGACAGACAAGACACTAAGCAGCCCAAGACCCTAGGGGTTCTGAAACACAGACCTGAAATCCCTCTTGGACTCTGGGACTCTCATCCCCCATCTGTGTGGGGAAAAAGGCTGCTCAGGAATGCTCCGGAATGGTCTGGAAAGCTCCTGCAAGCAGGGCAGCACCAGGCAGACTTGAGCAGCCAGCCACGCAGAGAGAAACAGAGAAAGAGAAGATATGTCTGGAGGTGGGTACTACACTGGGAGCTTCCTTGCCTACATGGTGGCCTGGGTGGTAGCCAGAGAAACCACCACCTCCAGTATCCCAGAGGCCCTTTCTCAGAATCCCTGTGGCATCCTTCTTCCCTGTGCTCCAGCAGAAAGGATTTCTATCTTCACAGTCACATACACGCAGCCACCACCTGCCCTGTTGTCTCAAAGACTACCATTCTTTCAGCTTCAAAGCTCCTAGATTTTCTTCTTTCTCCTTCTCCCCTAAATGAGATGCTGCCTATGTTCAGTACTTGCTCCATTACTTGTCTTTATGCCTTTAAATAACTTTCCATTCGAAGATCAACTCTAGGTTGATTCCCAAGTTGTGTCTAAAAGAATACGGCTTTACAAACCATATGTGCAAATCAGCTTCATGACTTCTTTCCTTAACATCACTCTCTTTCCAAACTAGGGTCTCTGTCACCCCTACTACCTAGTGAAACCTCCCCTTGTATGGCTAAGCATGACCTCTGCCTAACCAACCCCAATTCTAACTCCTCACCCTGACTCTCATCCTCAACTGACTCTTCAGCCCCAACCCCCCACTTCTCATGCTGGCCCCACCGTGCTCTCAGCTACCCAAAGTGAAGATTTGAGAGCCCCTAGATTTCTCCCAGATCTCACAATGATTTCACTGGTGTCTTAGTCATCTAGTGCTGCTGTAACAGAAACACCACGAGTGGATGGTTTTAACAAATATAAATCTATTCCCTCACAGTCTAGGAGGCTAGAAGTCCGAATTCAGAGCGCCAGCACCAGGGGAAGGCTTTCTGTCTGTGTTGTCTCTGGGGGAAGGTCCTTGTCATCAATCTTCCCCTGGTCTAGGAGCTTCTCAGCGCAGGGACCCCAGGTCCAAAGGATGTGCTCTACTCTGAGCATTGCTTTCTTGGTGGTAGGAGGTCCCTCTCCTCTCTGCTCGATTCTCTCTTTTATATCTCAAAAGAGATTGACTCAATATACAACCTAATCCTGTAGACTGAGTCCCATCTCATTAACATAACTGCCTCTAATCCTGTCTCATTAGTATCAGAGAGGTTAGGATTTAAAACATATAGGATAATCACATCAGATGACAAAATTGTGGACAATCACACAATACTAGGAATCATGGCCTAAACAAATTGACACACATTTTTGGGGGACACAATTCAATAAATGAGATAATGATACAACACCTGGCGAAAAAAAAAAAAAAAAAGTCCCACTCTAAAAATGCTAGCTAAGAAACAGAAAACATGAAAAGTACTGATTGGAAAAAAATCTCTCAAGCATATTCAGCCAGTGGGGTAAAGTGTTCAGGGGGTCAGTGTTAGGGGATCCCAAGCCCTCCAAACCCAAATGCAAATCACTCCTGATCGCTTAGATTTTCCCCTCCTCTCCTTCCCATGCCCAGGACACTGAGCCTCCAGGGGAACCCTCCACAGTGCCCTCTCAGAATGCTTACAAACCCAAATGTCCAGGGAGAGCACTGGACCAGAAGTAGGGAGGCCCAAGTTCCAGTCCTGACCCCACCGCATAAATGCTCTGTGGCCTGCACAAGTCAAACCACTTCCCTGGTCCTGGAAGAGGTAAAGGTCATGGGAGGGCTAAAGGCCTGCCTAACAGAACTCTCAGGGACTTGGGAAACCACACTGAAAGCTCTGATTCTATGCAATGAACCCAGCACTCTACAGGTTATTTCATACTGCTCTCATTTCATATGGTTACAAAACCAAACCCACTGCTGTCAGGTCGACTCCGACTCATGGCGATCCTATAGACAGAGTAGAACTGCCCGATAGGGTTTCCAAGGCTGTAAATCTTTATGGAAGCAGACTGCCACATCTTGCTCCTGCAGAGTGGTTGGTGGCTTTGAACCACCAACATTTTGGTTAGCAGCCGAGGGCTTAACCCACTGCACCACCAGGGCTTCTTTTCATATGGTTAGGTGGTAGAATCCTTGCCTTCCATGTAGGAGACTCAGGTTTGATTCCTGGCCAATGGACCTCATGTACAGCCACCACCATCTGCCAGTGGAGGCTGGTGTGTTGTTATGATGCTGACCAGGTTTCAGCAGAGCTTCTAGAGTAAGATGGACTAGGAAGAAAGGCCTGACGACCATCTACTTCCAAAAATTAGCGAATGCAAACCCTATGGATCACAATGATCTGATCCACAACTGATTATGGGGTTGTTGTGCGTGGGGTCGCCCTGAGTTTGGGATCAACTTGAAGGCAGCGAACAACAGCAGTAACAACTGTAGACAGAACAGCCTATCCCTAAACTAACCTAGAGGTGAACCTATTCTGCACCTATTCTTTCCACTTTCCTTCCCATCACACTTCCTGCCCAGGGCCAATCTCACCTTCTGGCTGGTCAGGGCACTGCCCGAGGGTTCCCTTGGAGCACAGTGCCCTGTGGTGGAGAAGGGAGTGCGAGCAGGGCAGCAAGTCCAGGCAGGAGGGTCCATGTGACAGTGACTCCACAACAACCTTGTGAGGCAGGTGGAGAAACTGAGGCTCAGGAAGTCAAGTAACTTGCCGAAGGCACACAGCTGGTGAGTAGCAGAGCCGGGATGCTATGGCAGGTCTGTCTGGTACTAAACCATATCCTTCACCAGCACACCACTTCCTCCTGCACAGTCCCGTTCCTCAAACAGTCCTGTAAGCCACAGCTTTCAACATGCTCGCCTACACTGCTCCTCACCACGCAGTGCTGCCTCCTTAGTAGACTTCTCGTCCCTCGGCCTGGCATGTAAAGCTCTCTACAATGTGGGCCAGCCATATTCAAACAAAGGGAGAACCGCATGGTCCCAAATGCATATCCTCCTCTCTGGTTAAGCAGGTCCCTTTCCTCTCCCCCAGGCCCACCTTGCCCACCTGCACATCCCACTCAGATGCCCAGACCAGGTCTTAACTGCTCTTCCGTCTTCCACATTCTCATCCGGCTCCGTGGCCATTACGAGATGTCCCCTTCAGCCCCTGCCCACATTGTTTCACCTCTTCCTGACGGCCACACTCATATACATGTGGCCTTTCCTCTGTCCCCCAGGAGAATGTAACCTCCCCGAAGACAGGGACAGTATGTTATATGTTCCCCTTCTGTTCCCTCCTAAGATTTCCCACTGTGCTAACTCAGCGTGGACTCCCAGGCAGAGAGCCCTGGGGTGTATCCTGGGATTCTTTTCCAGAGAAGGAGTGGGTGGGGCATTGAGGGCATCTGAACCTCTGAACACTTTATTCCATGGACTAAATATTCCTGACAGATTTTTTTCCGATCAATATTTCTAATGCGTGTGCGTGTTTTAAAACAACTAGAGTGGGATTTTGTACCAGGCACGCACGTCGTTTAGTTTGTTCCTCGTAACCCAGGAAAGTCCGTGTGAGATCTTATTGAATCAATGAATTTACTCCCATCCACAGATGCAGACACTGAGCTCAGCGTGGTTAAATAACTTGCTCAAGTAAATTTCACAGTAAATAGCACAGATTAGAGCCAAACCTAGGTTTCTGACTTCTCACATTCTAAACTCTGCCACCTCAAAGGGGCCTAGAGGCACCTGGCCCGAGGTTATTTGCAGGAGCATCGGTCTGTGGACATGGTAGGTGGGTGAGTGTTGCGCCCCACTCATCTCCCTGCTGTGTGCCCCCCCACAGCCAGGCAGAGCCCAGAACCCGCCACCCCCTCCGTTGCACTCACAGAGCAGGATGAGCGACACCACAAGGGCAATGAGGAGGAGGATGCACGCGGTGAGCGGCAGCCACTTCTGGCCCACCAGCCAGGTGAACTTGGGCAAGCTGAGACCTAGGAGAGAGACATACGCAGGGGAGGGTGAGGCTAGTGGGGAGAGGCTTGGCGCAGAGGAGGCGGGAGAAGAAAACAAGGCTGACTCCTGAGGGCCCCGTTAGGACCTCTCTATCCCAGAATAGGAAACCCCGGTGGCATAGTGGTTAAGAGCTACAGCTGCTAACCATAAAGGTCAGCAGTTCGAATCCACCAGGCGCTCCTTGGAAACTCTATGGGGGAGTTCTACTCTGTCCTATAGGGTCGCTATGAGTCGGAATGGACTCGACAGCAATCGGTTGTATCCCAGAATATGGCACCACCGCCCGCATGCTTCCAGCCAAAAACACACAAACCCCTTGCCATCAAGTGGATTCTGACTCATGGTAACTGTATGTTACAGAATAGAACTACTCCATAGAGTTTTTTTTTTTTACTGTACTCTTAACAGAAGCAAATCGTCAAGCCTTTTCTTCTTCGGTACCCCTGGGTGGGTTGGAACCACTAACCTTCAGGTTAGTAGGCAAGCACAAATCGTTTGTGCCACTCAGGGACCTCCTGCTACCAACAGTGCCCTTTTATTGAGCTGCTACTATGGGCCAGCCAGGCCTCTGCAAGTGCTATCTTCTTGGATGCTCACAGCAACCTTACGAGCTGGATATTATGATGCCCATTTTATACATGAGGAAACTGAGGTTTATGGAAGTTAAATTAACTTGTCTAGAGTTACTAGGCTAGTGAGTGGCAGAGCAGGGATTCAAACGCAGGAGCATCTGGTCCCTAAGCCCACCATGAGAGAACAAAAATGGTCACAAGACTGGCTGTGGAGGGGGACCCCAAACCTGGGGTGCTCCTCCAAAGCCAGATAATATCCAGGCCCTAAGCCTGTTTGAAAATGGTGATGGGGGTCTTCTGAGGTCTGGGATTGGAAGAGGGCAGAGTTAAAATGGGCAGAAATATTGCTTCATTAAGGGCAGAACCCATTTGGCATCTTGACTTCCTAGTATCTGAACCACACAGAAGTGGTCAGGATCTCTCCCTTTCTTCCTCCACCCACAGACAGACTCACTGATCATGACCTTGCTTCAGCTTCAGCTTCCCACAGGGAAGCCCAAGAAAAGGACCCAGGTCTCTAACCAGGAGCCCTTGCCCTTGAAATCAGAACTGGGAGTACAGCCTCCAAAGTTACACACTCCTTTGCCAGTCCCTATTTCTTGGCCTGAACCCCCTCTGCCCTCAAACTTCTACCGTCTTGAGTTTTTATGTAATGGTTCCTTCCTGCTCCCATCTCCCTAGGCCCTTCACTGCCCATCCCTAGATCCCCTCACATCATTATCCAAATGGTATGAGGAGCAGAGTGTGCCAACTCCGAGATTTCCTCCTTGCCCATGGACTGTTCTTGTTCCTCTTGCCCTCCCTGCAGTATTGCCTTTACCTGAGCTCTCCACGGTGGCCCTGGTGGCTGGCAGTGACCTGGCAGGAGACGCCCGGGTGGGTACTGCCCTCACTGGTGTTGTTCTAACAAGATACACTCTGGTTGGAGAGTGTGTCGTGGAGGCCGACCTGCCAGACGATGACCTGCCAGACGATGACCTGGAAGGCGATGCCGGGGCTGGGGACACCATGGCTGGGGATGCCCTGGCTGAAGACGTCCTTGCTGAGGAAGCATTCTGAAAGCAAAGTGAAGGGCATCTCTCAGGCGGCTCCCCTGCCAACCCAGCCCAACTGTCAGCCCTGCTGAGCTAGCAGGTAAATGCTCTGGGGCAAGTGGCTAGAGGGTGAGCAAAGCCTCCTGGACAAGGAGGCATCTGAGAAGAAGAGAGTATCCAAGGATAGGATGAAAGTCCAGAGAGCTTGCTGCTCCCCAGCCGCCCTAAAGTCTGTCCCACTCACATGGACCAGAGGGAGCAGTGGTCTCCAACGACAGAAGGCCATCTGCCCGGGGCTGGGCGCACCTGCTTCAACTACACTTCTCTGTTGTTGTTAGGTGCCGTCGAGTCGATTCTGACTCATAGCGACCCTATAGGATGGGTCAGAGAAGGGCTGTGGGCTGCACCCTCGATCTGACCCTCACATCCAGGAAACGCAGTCCCCTGTGGGGGAAGTAACCACCCCTTCAGCCCTCTTCACTTTCACACCATATTCCCCCTCTTTTCATTTATGTATGTTAGATTGTAGATTAAAACATTGCTCTTATTATGAGCTGTTGTGAAAAAACTGAAAAGCACTGCTGAAGAAACGCCCTTGCCTTGGTCGTACACCTCTGAATGTATTGAAAACCATTGAATTATACACTTTAAATGGGTGAATTATATGACATTTGAGTTATATCTGAATAAAGCTGTTTCTTTTAAAAAGAATATATGCATATTTGAAAAGTACAATATTTTCACTATATATATAAACATAAAAACTGCTGTCAATGTGGGAGAAATATTATTGTACTTTAAGTGAAAGTTTACAATTCAAGTTAGTCTCTCATACAAAAATCTGTACCTACATTGTTATGTGACCCTAGCTGCTCTCCCTATACTGTGACAACACATTCCTCCTTTCCACCCCTGATTTCCCGTGTCCATTCAACCAGCTCCTGACCCTCTCTATCTTCTCATCTGTGGGAGAAATACTTTAAAAAAAAAAAAAGCAAAGCCCTCACCTGCCTTGTTTGTGTCCAATGTTCTTAGTAACACCAGCATACTCTCCCTCCCTCCCCCCGCCACACACACGCACGCGTGCACACACACACACACACACACACACACACACACACACATCAGAGAAGCTGCAGGAACAAGATATAAGAAGAGAAGTTAGGCTAGGGTATGAGCCCCCCACTCTTGGACAAGATCTTTAACCTTACCCAGCTGTAGGCTGACTCATAGATTAATTCAGAATGAGTTAGCACTTTAATTTACACTTTTAGAGGGCTTAACATGCTCTAATGCTTTAATCCTTGAAACAACCCTACGAGGTAGAAACGATTATTATCTCTACTTTGGACAGGGGAAACGGAGGCAGAGAGGGTAAATAATTTGGTCAAGTTGTCACAGCGAGAAAGTAGCAGAGGCAGGATTTGAACTGATAATTCAGGCTGCAGTGTCCATGCTTTCAACTCTTGGGCTTTGCAAACTCCCTGAGGAGGAGATAAGAATTAACAGAGTGGCTGGCCACAAGAGGCCATCAATGACTACCAATCCTGGTCCATTCCCTGGAGAGCCTGGGGCCTTTAAAACAAAAAACCCAAACCCATTGCCGTCAAGTTGATTCCGACTCATAGCGATCCTATAGGACAGAGTAGAACTGCCCCATAGGGTTTCCAAGAAGCAGCTGGTGGATTTGAACTGCCAACCTTTTGGTTAGCAGCCAAATGCTTAACCACTGTGCCATCTTTGGCGTGCTCTAAATCTGGAAGAGGGAGCCGGTGAGGTCAGGGGCAGCGGGGGGTGCTTGAGCATTCCCTACTTTCTGCCCAGCCCTGTCTGCAGGACTCCCAGTCCCTGTCACTGTATTGGGCATCTTCTCACCTCCCTCTCGCCCCTCATGGGCCCCTCTGACCTCTCTTACACAGTCTTTGCTTCCTAAGCCCCCTCCTGGAGTCCCCAGAGGGTGGGGGTGCTGGGAACTAACCTGGCCCATGGGCCACATATGACCCTCATTGCAATTTCTGCTGGAGGCCAGTTGGCTGCTCAGGAGGGCGGGTCTCACTGGGAAGCAGCATGAATGGCGGAGAAAGCAAGCCTGGGGAGCAGGGGGTAAGAGGGTGCTAGGGGGTGGGGTGTGGGGTCCACAGGGCTGTGTGAAGAAGACAGAAGGCTCCACCCCTCCAGGTGCTTCTGTTTCCATCCCTCACCTCCCACAGTGCTTAAAAGCATTTCACTTTACACCAAGCTGACCAATTAACAGAAGATCCTCCTCATTAGAATATCTGGCTCATCTGAGCACCATCATCCCTACTAAGTAGGGCTTTTTGTTTTCACTTTTTATTCCCTCCTCCCCTGGGAATTGGAGGTAGGTGGTTTGGTCACTTCTTCATTTTTTGGAGAGCTATGATCTTTTGGGAGCGTGAATTCAAGGAGGAATCCTGGATTCCTGACCACACTCGGCTTGCCAAAGGCAAGAGCCAGGAGAGGCTGCGCCAGGAAGTCGCTGAGGTTAATTAGTGGATGTGGGTAAGTACGCAGGAGCCCCAGTGCCCCAGCCGGCTGAGCAGGGACACACATGTGTGTTCAGGGACCTGAAGGGTAGCTGCTGCTGCTGCTGACCCAGCTGAACCAGAGCAAGTTTTCCCAGCAGGTTTTCCTCTCGTCCCCACTGGTTAGAGCCGACAAATGAAACAAAACAGTTGCCGTTGAGTTAATCCTGACTCACGGCCATCTCGTATGTGTCAGAGTAGAACTGTGCTCTGCAGGATTTTCAATGGCTGATTTTCCAGAAGTAGCTCACCAGACCTTTCTTCTGAGGCATCTCTGGGTGGACTCGAACCTTCAATCTTTTGGTTAGCAGCCGAGCATGTTAACTATTTGCACCACCCAGGGACTCTGGCTAGACACTCGATGGCCATAAAATGTAGACAGATGAGCCCCTGGAAGCTTAAAATGGAACAGGATTGGTGTTGGGGGCAAGGAGAGGTGGCGAGGATATGTTGAAATATAGAATGCATCAGTTAACAGCTCTGGCTTCAGAGTCAAACAGACCTGGATCCCAATTCTGGGTCTTTCACTTGGTAGTTGCGTGACCTTGGGTAAGCCGCTTAGATTTCCTGAGTCTTTTTCTTAATCTGCAAAACGGGACTAATAATCCTGAGGATTAAATTAGATAAAATAGGAACGCTCTTTCCAGGGCCTGGCACACAGCAGTTGCTCAGGAAATGGGTGTTCCTTCACTCCTCTCCCTGCTTCCTCTCCCCCCTCCCCGCTTACACAGAGCACAACCAAACTGATATTTAATAGCTACGGGGCATGACTGATGGGGCTGAAAGATGGTATAAATTCATTTTAGGGAGAAAACAGGATGCTGGACAAAGGCCAGCCTAAGGTCCTTCAATGAAAAGATAAGCCCAGGCCCTGAAAGGCCCTGTATGTCCAACCAGTGGTGGCCTGAGCCTTGGCAGCTGCCAGGCCCCCGGTGTTGTGGCACCTCGACTGGCCTGCCAGGTCTCCCTCCCCGTTATGCTCTCATTATATGTCTTTGCCAACTTCAAGGAGAATTACCATAATTGAGTCCAATAAAATATTAGTAGCTCACTTATGTAACAGAACTTGAGAGTTTACAGTAAAAACTTTCACACATCTACAGCTGCGTGCGGTCCTTACTACATCCTTGAGCTAGGTATTTTTACCAGCCCATTTTACAGACAAGCAAGCCAAGTCTCAGAGCTCAGATTGCCCAGAACTGCATTGTCAAGACTCAACCCCGAGCGGTCTGTGTCTGAGTCCCCTGCCCTTCTCGAGTCAGAAGCAAGAGGTCCCTGGTGCAGCCTTCTCCCTGAAACGTGTACAGGACACTCATCTTGTGTTCGTGACCTGAACTAAGCAATGGGACCTGGGGCCTGGCAGGCTGGAAGCCTGGGATGGGGCCAGGAGGTTCTTCAGGGATCTCGGTCTTGAGGTACTTCTCAGTGTGAACCACATACGGGACCTGTGGCCTTCCAGGACCAGGCAGCCTTGTGGGTTGCAGCAGCTGGGCACCTCCATCCAGTACTTTGGGTTAGAGAGACCTTGCTTCAAATCCAGCTCTGCCTCTAAACCACCTGTGTGCCCCTGATCAAGTGGCTTAACCTCTTATTAGGTAGAGCTGATGATCCTGCTTCATAGCATCCTTGTGATAGATAGTAGAGGTCAAGCGCCGGCTGGCACACAGCAAGGACTTGGTTCACATTAGCTGTGCAATCATAATTTTTTGTAAAGAGCGCTGGGCTTGAGATAGAAAGATCTGTGTTCAAATATGACTGTGCCCACGCCTAACCGGGTTACCTTGGGCTAGTAACTTACCACTTCAGAGTCTGCTTCTGCACATGTAAAATGGGGCTAACTTTACCTCCTTCCCCCAGATAAATGGGGAACACACATGAAAGAGCTTGGTCCATAATGTGTCAAACCATAACAAATAGCCCACTAGGCATTCTACTGGGGGGCAGTGATGGTTCAGACCAGGGAAAGAGGAGAGTCCTGGGACCCCGAGACCTGAATGAGAGCTGCCCATGTGAGGAACTGCAAGGTCCAGCAGGGACATCAGAGTGGAAGGGCAGCCCCAAGACCAGAGGAAAGCAGCATCCAGAGTAAGACCATCGACTCCAACCCCCCGACCCTGCCCCAATCCAGACCATCGCAGAAGGCTAAGCAGAGTTCTCATTTTCAGGGACCACAGAATAGAAGCTTCCACAGCCATTCTTTGCCCATTTCACAGCCTGCCACCCCAGCCTGCTGGAAGTCCTTCCTAATGTCTAACCTGCTGCAGCACTAACTCATTTCATTTCCTCAATTCTTGGAGAGCAATTGCTCAGCCTCTGGCCTCCCATCTGGAGGCCTGACCTGACCCTCAGAGCAGATGCCTTGAGCAGTTGAGGGAGGTCCCTATACCTGAAGTGGAGAAGGCAGAAGGGAGGAGGCTTCTTGCCCAAAGGGCAGGGCCAGGATCAGAATGCAGGCCTTCCAACTCCTGGGCTTTGCCAGTAAGCAGAAGACCCAGGAATGGAACTCAGATGACCAACTCCTGGGCCAGGGCCTGGCCTGTCCATAACCTGCCTGAGATCAGAGGCGCCTCAGCCTGCCTGGGGCAGGTGGACAGGGCAGAGTCAGGGGAGCATGGGTAACTCAGGGCCATTTCCCTGGCTTAGTCTTGCCAAACATTCTTTCCTGGCTCTGCTTCTCCTCCCACCCACCCCTGGGCTGGTCTCTAGGTTATCCCCTGAAGTAACATACCGCTAAGCCCTCACCATACCACCCCAGCTGTCACTGCTGCCACCTCGTTGTGCCTCTGAAGCTCCCAAGAGTCCCCATTAGAAGCTTGTCCAGCCCCCTGCAGATGAGCTGGGGCAGGAGGTGGCGTAGCTGGAAGGCAGGCAAGGCAGGGATTATAGGGAAGGGCAGCCAGGGATGGGCCAGAGAGAGAGCTGAGAGGAGCAGTCCCTGGCTCTGGGGCTCTTTCCAAGCACTTCCCCAGATGGGGTCAATAAGGATTACTATTCCCATTTTATAGACAAGGAAGTGGAGGCCCAAAACATTTGTGTGCTTTGCCCAAAGTCACTCGAGTACATCTTATAGTGGAATGGGGAGTAAACCCCAAGGCCCCTTGCTCCCAGTCCACTGCTCTCTGTACCACAGCTTTGAGGGGTAAACCCCCACCCCACCCCAATGTGAGTGGGGCATTTTTATGGCTCCCTGTGGCAGACTCCGCCCCTTGGGCCCTTACCTGGTGGGGGATGGGAGAATTAACAGACCCTGAGTATGCCCTGCCCCTAGCCTCTCCTGAGTGTCCTGGGGGCCCAGCCAGGGACCCCAGGTAAAGAAGGGGGCCCCCTCTCTGTTCTGGGTGATGTCACCACCACTCATGGGTTGCTTCCATTTTGGTGGTTGTGTGGCTACTGCCATGAATTGAGTCCTTCGCTTTGCGTACCGACAATTTTCCAGCCACAGAAAGCAGCCTGAACTCCGGGAACTGGGCATTGGGGGTCATTTAGAGCCCCAGGTGACCAGCGAGAAGGACCCTAGGAAAAGCGCTCGTGCTAAACCTAGAGAATGTCCTGCAGCAGCAGCAGCAGCTTCTTCACAGCCTAGGGGTGGGTCCCTTGGGGCCTCTTCATGTCCCTCATCTATTCTTTCTTCAATTAGTGTAAAAAACATTAAGTAGTCCACTGTTACCCAGCAAATAGCAGTTAATTGCCCATGAACTTGCTGCCTCACTTTCTCCCCCCGTCTGTGCCTTCCCTCTCTGCCCAGAGCTAGGGTGATGTCACAGTTCCGGGCTGGCTCACAGTGGTGGCTCACTGGACAGTATTGGCTGTTGCTTTACTATCAGAGGAGCTGGCCTCCCCCTGGTGCTGACGAGGCCTCTGCTTGGTTGAGAAAGCCCCGTGCTGTTCCCCATGGTGGATTCCTTTGTGTCTCCCTCACCTGCATCTTGCCCGCCTTGCCAGGCACAGTCCACCCCCATGTTGCTATAGCAAGAGGAAGCTGTTTTGCCGAAACATGACACTTAAGCTAAGTGGCTCTTGTTACATCAGTTGGCCTTCCCACCCAGCATCCCAGCCTGGAGCCCCATACACACACTCCCACATGTTTGAGCTCACATTTGTCAACTCACGGGGACAACTCAGGGAAGGCAGGGTGGGGTTTGCTGGCCCCAGTGAAAACATCAAACCCAGAGGTCTCCGGTAAAGACAAAGGGCAGGTGCCCAGCGTCCTGGGGTACTGCACTTTGGGGCATGGTAGAGGACACAGTGACCTGAGCCCACTGCTCTGCCATCTTGGGAACCTGCCCAGCTCCCTCTGAGGAAATGCTTCCCCCTGGGCCAGCTCTCAGATCTCTGGGCCATTCCCTCCATGGTCTTGACCTGATATAGAACCTGTTCCACTTTAAGAAGACCTAGTATAAAGAAATCTGCTCTACTAAGGGTTGTTGATTTGTCCTTGGGTCTACTTCAGTCTTTCTTTAATAAATATTGCACTTCTTTAAGCATTAAAAATGTGACTCATTTTGAAGAAAACACAAAATATGCACTATTTTTCAAAAACAAATGCACATATCCAGTGTGGCACACCTGCAGTCCCGTTCTGTGTAATTTCAGAGACTGTCCGGGAAAGACAAAGGGGCCTCATGGAGCACTTTGTCTAACCTTCTTCTTTGGAAGGTAGGGAAACCGAGGCAGGAGAGGAGAAGATATTTGTCTAAATTTTTAGAGGAGCCAGGACTAGACTCTAGATGATGATGGTGATGATGGTGATAATAATAATGATAAATCATAACACTGTGAATATATCTATACCCATATCTGTGTCTATCTATCTATCTTTCTTTCTATCTCTGCCAGATGCCATTCTAAAAGAGAGTTACTCTGTGAAAGATACTATGCTAAGACTCCTTGAGGTAGGTTCTATTATTATTCCATTTTAGAGATGAAGAAACTAAGGTACAAAAAGATTAAGTGATTGATCCAAAGTCACACCTGACCTGGAACTTGGTCAGTTCTCTGTCTACCACATCATGCAGCTTCTCTTTCAAATGCAGAGAAGCTGAGAGCATTCTTCACCCCCTTGCCAGCATCCCCCTGAAGACACAGCCAGCTGCCACAGGAGCCTCATCAGGTTTAAATCCATTGGACATTATCTTTCTTACCACTTTAGGAGTTGAGAGATAAGACGATGCATCTCTCTGCAATGAAGCCCTCAGGGAGAAGGCATGGATTTAGATGACCAGTTTTTCCCAGCCCACTCCCACCCTTAAGATTTAATCAATCTTAAGGAATATCTGCTGCATATAAGATTAAGAGCCCCAACTGTGGTCTTCCCTACCCCCACCTCTGGCTCATTATCTTGGAGGTTTCTTCTTAAACAAGGGGATAAACTAAGAACTTTAAAGGATGTGGTGGTTCAGTTATTTTATTCCAACATAAATTAGGACAATCAGCCTTTCATAATGTACATGGCACCTACCATACCATTTGGCACTTAATTTATAAATTAATTGGGAGTCCCATATTCCATCAATAATGAAAAGCCTGTTCTCTACCCTATGCCTCCAGTTACCTTCCATGTTGGTACCTAACTATGGAGAGATGAGCTTGTTAGGCCAATATCATCCTGCCCCAAGGACTGGCCCCACCACCTACCTCCAACTTGGGTTCGGCCACCCTCCAGATAGTTCAGACCCTTCTTACCTTTGGGGCCACTAAATTTAGGACCCTGAAAGAGGATAACACAACTTTGCTTGCTGAAAGTGAAGAGGACTTGAAGCACTTACTGATGAAGATCAAAGACCACAGCCTTCAGTATGGATTACAACTCAACATAAAGAAAACAAAAATCCTCACAATTGGACCAATAAGCAACATCATGCTAAATAGAAAAAAGATTGACGTTGTCAAGGATTTCATTTTACTTAGATCCACATCGATGCCCATGGAAGCAGTAGTCAAGAAATCAAACGACACATTGCATTACACAAATCTGCTGCAAAAGACCTCTTTAAAGTATTGGAAAGCACAGATGTTACTTTGAGAATTAAGGTACGCCTAACCCAAGCCATGGTGTTTTCAATCGCCTCGTATGCATGTGAAAGCTGGACAATGAATAAGGAGGACCAAAGAAGAATTGACACCTTTGAATTATGGTGTTGGTGAAGAATATAGAACATACCATCAACTGCCAGAAAAACAAACAAATCTGTCCTGGAAGAAGTACAGTCAGAATGCTCATTAAAAGCAAAGATGGCGAGACTTCATCTCACATACTTTGGACATGTTATCAGAAGGACCAGTCCCTGTAGAAGGACATCATGCTTGGTAAAGTAGAAGGTCAGAGAAAAACAGGAAGACCCTCACTAAGATGGAATGACACAATGGCTACAACAATGGGCTCAAGCACAACAGCAATTGTGAGGATGGTGCAGAACCTATGTTCTGTTGTACATAGGTTCACTATGAGCTGGAACCAACTCGATGGCACCTAACAACAACAACAAATTTAGGACCCCAGCAAGTTATCAAGGAGCATGCCCCATCCCTGGGTCTGTGGGTTCACTTTCCCCCCGCCTTACACAAAACTCCATTCCGCACAATGCATCACCCTTACTTACTACTCACCAGAGGCTCCAATGAGCCCCAGAGGCTAGGTTCAAATGTCCTTGGTGAGGTGGTGACATGAACCAAGGAGACCAGAGCAAAAGCCAAGAGGGGGCTAAAGGAATGGAGATAGATGGCAGTAAAGGTTACAGAAACACACCTGAGGGTCAGAACGGACCACATGCCAACTGTAAGGCAGAGCACAGGATGAGCTGATCCTTCTCAAACCTAGAGGTGGCCCATGCTTCCTAGAGTCCCATATTCTACCACATCAGTAAAGAACAAAAGAATTTGCAGAGGAGCAGAAAACAAGACCTAAGGAGAAGTTAGAGCGCAAGAAAGATTTCCCTGAAGAAAAGAAAGCTGAGACACAGTTGAACAAAATCTTTGGAAGCCTTCACCTTCACGTTTGTATGAATGGCTTTCCAAAGAGGACAGCCCAGCTGCTCTCTACCACCATCAAGAGCAGCAGAAGAAGAAAGGAACCTGAGTTATAACAGAAGGAATTGTGGTTAGACATAAGGAAGCACCTCCCAAGCATGAAAGTTATTAAGCCTGAAAATGAATAACTAAGAGAAGTTGAAAACTCTCTTAATATCTTAAATGCACATAGAAAGTCACATTTTTCTGGGGTGGTTTAGGAGTCTAGTGAGGGGGTTAGACAAGAGGACCTTGAAGCCATTTAGAATGCTAAGATTCCATGATTCTCCTTTTACTGGCAAAGTTGATCTAACAATATAGGCTGTCCTGGCCAGAGGGCTCACGGGCCACAGAGCTAAGTAGGAACCCAGGATTCAGCCACAGTCCTGGGGAGCTTACTGGCCAGACCCCAAATCCTACCAGCTTCTCCTCCCAGAGGATCCTTTTAGGAACCATGATAAACAGAGGCCAAGAGATCTGACCCCAAGTTACTTCAAACTAGAAAAGACACATTCAACTTCCCCCAGAGCCTGAGGCACACAGGTAGCTGTGCCCCACCTATCTCCCAGTGCCATCCTGGCTTCCTCAGCACTGGGAGGTTCTGGCCCTAGGCAAGTGGCTGGACTCACCAGGCGGCAGTCCCTTTCCATGGTCTCCCAAGGGATAAGGCTTCCAGTCTCAGCTAATGTCCACGGAAAGGTCCATGTTGGCTCCTGGCTTCCTGGGCATGTGGAGAAAAGGGGGTTGGACCGCTGAAGGCCAGCCGCCACCAAGAGGGGCGGGGAAGCCGGTTGGGATGTGTGAAGTAATCCCAAGTACAAACAACACAGCAGAACTAGCTAGACCTGTCCCTCCACCCCAAACTGATACCTGGAGTGTGAAGCTAGGAAATTACCCCCCACAGAGGCTGCTGTGGGGAAACCAGAGGTTCAAGTGTTCAGGACTTCCTCTTTGAGAGGGGGGTTCTGACAGAAAGGGCCAAGGCCCTGTGAGGATGGTCTTAGCTCTGAAAACAGGCACGCCCAAGCCCTCTGAGGCATGACGGTGTCCTCCTCAGGGATATCCAAGGCCAGGGACTAGAGCCTCACCCAGGGCAGGAAGTGTCCAAATCCCAAATCAAGGCATATGCTCTGGCATTTTTTTTTTTTTCCTCTTAACTCAATTTATTTCTATGAAAACTCTAAAATCAAATGACCTTTAATTGTGCACATAATGGATTGCCTCTATTGAAAATAGTAAGACACTGTGAAATAACTCAGGAAAGTCAATTAAAATAAAACATATAAATATCTGAATGGAGATCATTCCAACAAATATTGGGCTGACTCATGGCCCCAGGCCAGTGCCCCATTCTGCTCCTCAGAAGTCAAAAGAAACACAGGAGGAGCTACTGTGAAAAAGGTGCTCCTGTTAAGGGTGGTGGAAAAATCTGGGAATAGATAATGGTGTTGGCTGAACAGCACGATAAGCATAATTAATGTCACAAAATTATACATGTGAAAAATGTTGAAATGTCAAACGTTTTGTTACATATATGTTTACCACAATAAAAAATTGAGTACTGTCTTAGTCATCTAGTGCCGCTATAACAGAAATAACCACAAGTGGATGGCTTTAACAAAGAGAAATTTATTCCTTCACAGTAAGATAGGCTGAAAGTCCAAATTCAGGGCGTCAGCTCCACGGGGAGGCTTTCTCTCTCTGTTGGCCTTCTCATCGATGTTCCTCCAGGCTAGGAGCTTCTCCGTGCAGGGACTCCAGGTCCAGAGGACGTGCTCTGCTCCTGGTACTGCTTTCTTGGTAGTATGAGGTCCCCCTGTCTCTCTGCTGCTTCTCTCTTTTATATCTCAAGAGATTGCCTCAAGACACAATCCAACCTTGTAGACTGAGTCCTGCCTCACTAACACAACTGCCGCCCATCCTCCCTCATTAACATCATAGAGACAGGATTTAC